TTTTACTTACAACTTCACTAATGTGAAAATATGTATAATAAGAATGTAAATGTAAAGCCTGTATCAGATTGTGTGCCATCTTGGGGAGGGGGAGGGGGAGGAAGGGGGAGAAAAATTTTCAACTCAAAAGCATATGGAAGTGATTGTTGATAAATCAAAATAAATTAATAAAATTTAAAAAAAAAAAGAAATGAACAGAACTAGGAGAACAATGCATACAATAATTTTTTACATCATAGAGACAAATACCTTCCAAAACTGTAAGTAAGTAGTATAGTCAATGCAATGGTTATCCATGATTCAAAAAGACCGCGTACCATCCACTATGGCAAACTATCTCCCAAACCACTCCCCTATACCTAAATATGGACAATTCTCTTTAGGTCAGGTTTAAAATCTTGTTATAATTCACTGTAGGTTGAATTTTAAATCTCACTATAATGTTTGAAGTGTTTTAGAGGTTGTGTTCTATGATTGTGGCCTTCAATACTTCAAAAATCCTTGACTTCATACCTATGGGACTCATCTGACAGGGTATTACAACATCACTGCACATTGGTAGATGCCTTCAGGAGCTTGATGTGGCCAAAGTAAAGATCATCACTTGATTGACAGATCTAGCTGTGATGAACAGCCTCTCTAAACTTACTGATTCTGGTTCTTAAGCAAAAGACAATTGAAATGTATATTCAAAGCCTTTCCAGTTTGGTCAGACCTAGCAAAGATTGGTCAGAGAGCGCGACCTTCAAAAACACTACATCAACTGCCTCTATGATGATGTAAGATAAGTAGGATTTTAGTGTAGATTCTGGAATATTCTAATTTAGCTTGGACTTCAAATTTTTTTTTTTAAACCAGTTATCTAAAATCAGAAACTACTCAATTTTTAAAGTCAGAGCTTATTGATGAGTGGAACTTGAGTGCAGGTTTAATACAAATGCCAGCAGCCAATCCTTCTTAAAAACTAAAGCTGGAGATATGGTCAGGTAGAGAGAAAACTAAATAGTTATAGGCAGTGAGATGTTGGGGAGGCAGCATGTCAGCGGTCATATCAGAGAAGAAACAGGTGGACGTGGGGCTACTAGAGGCAAATGGCAGGTCTGAAGAGTTCCTAGCTAAACTAGGTTAGATGAAGATGTAAATGTCTAGGAAGGTAACTACAATAATGAAAACAGATGACATCCTCAATCAGTTGCAAGTCTAACTGGAGGAATATGCACACAAGATGGAGACCTCATAGCTCTTAGGAGTAACGAAGCAATGAAAAAAATAGAACTGTTCTAAGTACCTGGAGAGAGAAGGAGGAGGAAAAAAGTAGGGATAAGGGGTATTAGCGAACACATGTACTTATATCATTATCTGCTCAGATATATTTTGTTTATTGTGAATAACAAGAAATGCTTTGGTCCTTTTTAAAAAAAAATTGCTTTGGGTTTAGAGTTGGAAGACTTGGGAATAAATCCTAGTTTTTCCAGAAAGTCACACTTATTAAAGTCTTTTCTATGGACTTTAGCAACCTCATTTGAAAAATGTAAGAATAAAAGGGGCAGCTAGGTGGCGCAGTGGATAGAGCACCGGCCCTGGATTCAGGAGGACCTGAGTTCAAATCTGACCTCAGACACATAACCCTTACTAGCTGTGTGACCCTGGGCAAGTCACTTAACCCCATTGTCTAGCCAAGAAAGAAAGAAAGAAAGAAAGAAAGAAAGAAAGAAAGAAAGAAAGAAAGAAAGAAAGAAAGAAAGAAAGAGAAAGAAAGAAGGAAAAATGTAAGAATTAGACTAGGTGGTCTTTAAGGTCCCTTGAAGTAGTAGATCATTTGCTTTTATGGTCCTAAGTACCCCAGAGTGTCAGTACTGTATAGATATGGTAGGAAAGCTGGTTGTAGTCGGCCACACATATCCTAGATTTGGGGAAATAAAATTTCAGAGTTCAGAGAAAAACTTTCATGGACTAAAATACTACAGGGTAAGTCAACCCAAGAGGAATAAGGAGGTCTCAAGAAATGAGCTTGCATTGAAGATATAAATAGAAAAGATTCTGATGAGGTGAAAGAGGAGGTGTTCAGGAACACTAAAGTTCAAAATGAGCTGAGTGAAGATTTCAAGTGGATAGTGGCTAGCCATCACCTGATGTTATCAGCCTTCCCTCACTTAAATCCACTTCACTTGCATGTCATGGTATCACCTCCATGATGTCATGGCCCTCTTCAAGAATGAAGGACAAACAAACAGCAGAAAAGAGCCTTGATTAGGTATGGTTTGGACTAGATGACATCTGAGATACTTTCCAATTCTGACATTCTGTGATTCTATAGCACAGTGCTGCTACTTTCATGAGGAAAATGGATTGAACTTGTTGTCCATGGCCCCAAAGGACCAAAAATAGGAGCAATGGGTAGAAGATATAAGGAGACATATTTCATTTTGATATGAGAGAAATCTTGCTGAACGTTACTCTGTTCAAGAGTGAAATGGGCTGCCTAGTAAGATAATTAATTCTTCATCACTAGAAGTCTTCTAGTGAAAATTAGGTAATACTTGTCAAGGATATTATAGATATTGTCCTGTTCAGATGTCGATTTAACCTGATGACCACTGAAAAACTTTACAATTCTGATCATCTCTAATATGAACACCAAAAATTACAGGGCTAAGAACCTGGACCTGTAATTTCATTGGTGTAGGAAACTCCTGAACAAGGAATAGCCCTCTTCCTATGCAGGTCAGCATCTTCTCTGAAATTTAAAGAGAGCCATTTAGAGAACTGAGAGATTATGGGGGTCACACAACCTGGATGTGACAAATGTAACATTTGAACCCAGGTCTTCCTGGGTCTGAGACCAGCTCTCTATTCTTTTTACCACATTGCCCTTTGATTGATAACACTCAAAGCATAATGTGGAAGCTCCTGAAATGTACCTAGATATTTATGTTTCCTTTTTACTAAAGTGTGTATCACATTATAAGTCAAAATTATAGACTAACCAATATTCATCCCACTATGTTGGTATTTCATCAGTACTCTACTTCGTGTGACATTTACCTTTCTATTCTATTCTGTGTATGACACTGTCTCCTCTCTTCTCCTTATGGCATTTACCTATCTCTCCTGTGGAATACTTCTCCACTGGAAAAGAAAATGGCAAACCACTCCAGTATCATTGCCAAGAAAACTCCATCGACAGTATGGTCCATAGGATCACAAAGAGTTAGACACAACTGAATGACTGAACAACAACAATGATAACCTATAGAATACTAACTCTACCTCCCTCTGTGTTTGACATAAAAGCACATTTTTTAATAATAAAATGAGAGCTCACTCTTCTTTTTCTTCTTTTATTTAAAATATTTTATTTTTTCCCAATTATGTGTGAAAACAATTTTAAACTTTCATTCTTTAAAATTTTGAGTTCAAATTCTCTCCCTCCTTCCCCTCCCCTCCCCCTGAGAGGGTTAGCAATTTGATCTAGGTTATACACGTGTTGTTACTCAGTTGTTTCAATTGTGTCTGATTCTTTGCAACATCATTTGGGGTTTTCTTGGCAAAGATACTGCAGTGGTTTGCCATTTTTTTCCTGAAGCTCGTTTTACAGATAAGGAAACTGAGGCAAACAGGGTTAAGTGACTTGCCTAGGGTCATAGAGCTAGTAAGTGTCTGAGACCAGATTTGAACTCAGGAAGATGAGTTTTCCTAGCTCCAGACCTGGAGCTCTATCCACTGAGCCTCCTAGCTGCCAGGTTAAATATGTGCAATCATGCAAAAACATTTCTGTATTAATCATATTATGAAAGAAAACACAGACCAGATAGATAAATAGATAAAGCACGAGAAAAATAAAGTGAAAAAATAGTATGCTTTGATCTGCATTCAGACTCCATTAGTTCTTTCTCTGGAGGTGGATAGCATTTTTCACTGAGTCATTCCCACTCAATCGTATCACAATATTGTTGTTACTGTGTGCAACAGAACTCACTCTTCTTAATGATTCTGCGTTCTCCCTTCAAAGTGCTTCTTCTACACCTTGAAACAATGACTCCTCATCTCTGAATGGCTCTAAGAATTTTATGCAGTGTTCTAAAGTTTGCAAAGCTTTCTGTTACTGTTGTTCTCAAAATCAATATCCTTGGCACCATCAAAATGGTTCAATATCAGAAACAGGTAACGTTTTATTTATGGAAATGACATTAAAGATGTATTATAAGCTGCCGTGCTTGCAACTCTAAAAATCACTGGGCTTTTCATTCCATCTGACTTGCAGCTGAAATCTATGTGTTTTATTTCTCCCTATTGGAATATAATCTCCTTGAGAATAAGACTATCTTGTCTTTCTGTGTGTATCCCCAGCACTTACATGCTAAGTACTTTTTCATTCATTCATATACACATCATCTCACTTGATCCTTACAACAACCTATAGAGTAGGTGTAATTATAATCCTGAGACTCAAAGGGGTTAAATAACTTGCACTTGTCATCTTGATATTGAGCATCTGAAGTAGGTTTTGAATTCAGCTCTTCATAATCCCAAGTGCAGCACTCTATCCCTTAGCCATGCGGCTTCTCCCTCTGGTTAGGTATCATGAAACCCTAACTTCTGTGTGGAACCGTGACCTTTTGGCTTTCGAATACTGAACACCTTCTTCCTGGTGACTCTGACCCCTCCCTTCTCTATGTGATACTGCACCAATTTGCATCTCAGTAAAGAGCTGCTCAGTCTTTTCCCTGACCAATTGAATCTGGGGTCTGGACTCCAGAAACACCAGTAGACTTTCTTGAGAAAAATCAAAATACTTGCTGTAGGGCTGGTCACAAGGATTTCTGGGCCCTTTCTGGCCAGTGACGGAAGAAGTCCCCAAGGCTGAAAAGAGAAAAACACCACTAGTATAGAGCAGCAGATATTTCTGTCTTCCTGCCCCAGTCGGAGAAGATATAGAACAGCAAGGTGGTGGAATTGCTCCAAGGAGAACCAGAGTCATGGATTTCTGTCCTGCAACCATGCTGAATTTAAGCCAAAAAGTGGCTTTGTTTGTGATGTGCAGTGAGTTCTTTCTGGGGATTTGGGTAAATGGCTTCATTGGGCTGCCGCTCTGTCTCACTTGGGTCAAGAGCAGGAAAATTTCTTTGTCTGACTTCATCATCCTGAACCTGACCCTTTCCAGGATCGTCCTTCAGGGGCTAATAATGCTTGATTCTGTTTTATCCATATTCAGTCCCCATTTGCACAACGCAGGCAGCCTGATACAAATTATCGATATTTTATGGACATTTACCAATAACTTAAGCATCTGCCTGATGACCTGCCTCAGTGTCCTATACTGCCTAAAGATTTCCAATTTCTCCCACTCTGTCTTCCTCTGGCTCAAGTGGAGGGTTTCCCGTGTGCTTGTCTGGATTCTTCTGGGTTCTGGGCTCTACTCTTTCTTCAGCACAATGGCACTAATCCTGAAATTCAGTGTTTGTTCTGAACTCAATCTAATGAAACTCTCAGAAAACTGCACTGAAGATGTCAAAAGAAAGAAAATTGAGTACCGTTTCATACATATGCTTGGTGCCGGCTGGTCAATCATTCCCCTCATCGTGTCCCTGGTCTCCTCTGTCCTACTCATCCTCTCCCTGAAGAGACATATCCAGCAGATGCAGCATCATGCCACTGGCATGAGGGACCTGAGCACCAGGGCGCATGTGAAAGCCATCAAAATCATCCTTTTGTCTCTCCTCCTCTTCATTGGATACATCCTTGTCCTCTTCCTTGTTATGTCTAGTCGTTTCTTTCCAAACCCCAAGCTGGCAGGGATGACTGGTACATTGATTTTCATTGCTTATCCCTCTGTTCAAACCTTTGTTCTAATTCTAGAGAACCAGAAGCTAAAGCAGGCATTCCTTGGGATGCTCCAGGTCAAAAAGTGGAGTCTGAAATGTTAGGCCTTGGGAACTTCCACCCAAGTCTTGAGAAAAGAGCTTCACTGTCTTTCAATCTGTCTCAGCACTGGGTTATTTCATCATTTTCCTCCTCTGTCTTTTCCCCTCCCACAACACTTTCTGCTTGACAAAATTTAAGGAGGTAGTATGACAATGAAAAGAACCCTGGAATTTGATCCAGAACACTTGGATTTCTGGTTCTGTTTACCTTTTTGACCTTGGACAAGTTATTTTACACTTCTTGGCTTTCATTCTATTATTGACAAAAAGATTGTTTTGGATAAGATGATACCCATGGTCCCTTGCAGCTTTGAAATCCAATTACTGTAACTTCTTAAGACAGAGACACCAATTCAACCCATTTCCTGTTATTTCTTCCCTCTCACTCCAGTGAATCTAACCTTGGAGAAGCCCAAACTCACCACTGACTTTGTATGGATCTCAGCGTCCATGAAAACACAAATTTCCGTTCTCTGGAAGAAGTCCTTGACGTCAGCAAAGATTCTAACTCTTTGCCCATTGTCTTTAGTCACATGTGAATAAAAACATATTTAAATGAAGACTATTGTAATTTGGCCATACTGAGACTATTTACAAACTTCAACTTGAAAGTCCTGAGGCCACTTCTGCTTTGACTGAGAGAGGGTTGATAGACCTCCAGCTCAAAAGTACTTTAAAGGTCAGAGAGCCCAACACTCATTTAACAAAAAAGAAAATGGGAGCCAAGGAGCTGTTCAAGATCACATAGGCATTAAGCATGGAAGAAAGCATTGGAACTCAGTTCACTGACTGTGGAGCTATGACCTATGAAGACTCTTTCTTCTGTACCTCACTGAGCTCTGACCTTAGTCACCCACTTTAATTGTACTGTAGACAAGGCACAGGGCTGTTATGCTAGCATCCACTGGAGATGAGATTAATAATTAATAGAGATTATTGACACCTTTTGGTGAATTTCATAATCCAACCCAAGTGCTTAAGGAAAATCAAAAGAGGAATAACAGCATGCTTAGTCCTTTGTCAATACCTGGATGGGAGGGGAGCAGTGTAGTATCTTACAAGAGGGATTCTCAACCACAATAGGAAAGATATAAACGATTTTTTCCAATCTCCAACTCTCTCTTCTTCTTTCTCATTGCATTTAGGTGCAAACATGGATCACTAGAGAGAAGATAAATTCTGATAGCTGAGTCTGTATGCATGCAAAAGATAAAATTCAACAAAGAGAAATCTCTGATCTGGCTTACAGCTAGTGGCATCTTCTGGTTCTAAAATTCTATTACCCCTAAACTAGAGTCAATGAAAGTTGTCACCCCTAGACAAAAAACAATGTTCTTAATGTCCTTCTGCTTCCCCAGTAGCTCCATAGGTACTCAGACAAAGCAATAAATCCCCTGATGGCTCAGAAAGAACATGAAGATTCAGCAACTAGAAACAAAACAGAGCCATGCCTGATAGCCCAGCTATGCAAAGGAGTTTGCAGCTGAAAACAGGCCAGCAATGGTGTCAGTTGAGAGAGCAGGGAATAGCAGGTTGTTTCAACTAAGATTCCAATATAAAAAAAGAATTATCACACTAAGATTTTAATATGCATTGTGGGACTTTGTGGAATTTGGTGTCACTATAGTGTTTATAGATATTTCTCTAACGTTTCTTGCTTTTTAATAAATTTTTTTTTGCATACATTTAGGAACACTGAAGCTTTTCACTCACCAAAATATAGCACTAAAGCACTCAGATTTTGCTGCTTATTGGCTATATATAATTAGTCCTGTATAATGAGCGATGGTTTTGAACGAATTGGTGATTCACAGACTATCTGAAACCTAGAGTAGCTACATAAATATCTTGCTATAGAATATATATATATATAGTCAAACATATATTAATATTTAGTCTTTTTTTTCTCATTAGGATCTTTGTGTATTGGAAGGTTATTCTCCATCCCCTACAGAATCAGAGTTAGCATTCATATGCAGAATCTCAAAGGGGAAAACCCACAAAAACTTTTTTTAAGGCTTTTGATGCTCACTCAGAGAGAAGGACCAAAGTTCATTTGCCTAACCTTGGTGCTTACCCAGCAAGTTTAGAGACTGAACTCCCTGAGAAGGTATATGTTCATATCTAAAATTGGCAAGTATTCTTTAAGTGTTCATTGTTTCTGGACTTTTTTTTTGTTTTCACTCCTAAAATCTTCTAAGGTTTCCTCCCCTTTCCCCCAATAACCTCATAGATAAATGTTCATCTGGCCCCAAATGGCTTCACAGTACCTGACATATGCACAAGATGGTCTGTGTCCTCCTTTTTAGCTAACTTTGAGCAAATCATGAAACATTCCAATCTCATACTTTTATTCCTCTGAACCAATTCTTGAGCTCAAAGATCTCAAAACTTATATTTGGAAGAAGAGGTAGCAGATAATACCTTGCTCCCCCATAGCATTCTGGAACCCTCCAGAAGAAGAAGCATTTCTAACATGTTAGAGTTGGGGCTCATTCTATACAAAAAGGAAACCTGAGAATTCATCTTTGGAACTGCTGCATCACTACCACAATAAGGGAATTGCCACACCATCATCCCACTTTGGGCACAGATTGGCAGCATCCCACTCCCATATCCAGAATACAATAGAATATCCTTTAATAAATCTCTTTGGGACGCTTAACTCTTTTGTATGGTTTTTTTTCCCCCTCTTTAATGGGAAGGCTGGGTGACCACATAATCAATATTTGAAGAGGTATTTGTCACCAAAAGAAGGAATTGAAATGGGTAGGAGAAGTTGATTGAGTCTCTTTCTCATTTTAAACTCCTGAAAATCAGAGAGTCCTTATTCCAATTGCTGCAAAGAGTGGGCCCAATTAACTAAGGATATATGACAAGTCATTTAATTTTTCTATGCCTCTTTTTATTCATCTGTAAAATCAGGGGTTTGAACCACATAATTTCAAGTGCTCCTTCTACCTCTAAAATTCCATGACTCTAACTAAAGCCTTATCTATTGGCATTCAATCCATTTAACAGATATGCTGTCTATTTGGTAAGGCATTTAGACCTAGTCATTTTTTGAAATACTTACATGATATTAAATATTCTAAACATGATTTGAATTGCATTTTGACACGTGTTCCTGATTTGAAAGTTGATGTTATCTAAGTGAAAAATCATCCATTCCTACTCAGGATACCTAGAGACATTGAAGTTGCCAAGTAGGGGGAGAAAAAAAGAGCTAAAAAAAGTCTGAGATCTTTATGGAGACCCCTGTATGCTAATTCTAAAAGTTCTTTAGTTAATTAATCTCTTTGGGCAAAAGATTCAAGAAGGTGAGTAGGAAAAGATGCTGACCAGTTTGCCAGATATTTAATGTGGCAGTAGAACAAGGACTCTAAACCTTTTTTCTGGGGTCTCTGACCCCTTTGGCAATCTAGTGAAGCCTACAGACTCCTCCTGAGAATTAATTTTTAAATGCATAAAATAAAATATATAGGATTACAAAGGAAGCCAATTGTATTAAAATACAGTTGTCAACATATTTTTTTTAATTCACAAAACTCAGATTAAGAATCCTAGTAGTAGAGAGAGAGGAGAGACAGATTTTTGCATTACAATTGTTTAATGAAGCAACTAACAGTTATTCTCTGCCAGAATAAAAAGTCATAGAAAAAGAAATACTCCAAGTAGTAGCTAAGGATTAGAAAGGCAGCTTTCCATTGAAATGTGATAGGTTTTCTGGTTCTAAGCATCCTTAAAATATAAAGGTGCATTTCCCCACCTCAGGCATTGAAGAATAAATGGAGATGAAGTCATAGAGAAAATAAATCATTGAAAATTAAAATGGCCTTAACTCACACATGTAATGTTTGGCGTAAAAAATGTGTCCTTTTGACACAGATAAGAAGAATATAAGCAAAGGAGAGGTGTGCATCGATTTCCATCTTTCTCAGACTAGAGAATGTGTGTCGCTTTGGAACCAAGATAATATACTCAGTTGGATGCCACAGCTCTTCAGCTTCTAGGCCTCTTGTATTGGGATTCCAGTGAATTATAGCATCCATCCAGACCCCACTTTCAACTCTCAATGTGTCAGTTCCCTAATAATCTATAAAATGAAGCATTGGATTAAATGATGCCTAAGATTGCTTCTTGATCCCTCTTCTTCTCTTTGCATTCTTTCTCTTAGTGATACATCAGCTCCTTTGGATTGAATTATCAGCTCTCTCCACAGATAATTCCCAAATCTACATATCCAACCTCATTTCCCCTAAACTCCAAACCTGCATCCCCAAATGTTTGTTGGGTCTTTCATCTGGCTGTTCCATAAGCATCTCAAACTCAGTGTATATAAAATTGAACTCATTATTTTCCTCCCTAAAACAATTCCTCTTCCTTTTTCTGCCAAGGGCACCATTGTTTTCCCAGTCATTCAGTTTTACCACATAGAAGTCATCCTCAGCTATTCAATCTTACCCATTCCTCCACCTAACATGGTGACTGGCATAGAGTATGCATTTAATAAAGGTTGATGAATTTATCACTTCCATCTTCCATCCAATGACTGTATTCATTCGTTCTGTATTCATTCATCCACCAAACATCAATATAGAATGTACTATATGCACAGCACTGTGCTAAGTACTAGGGGGAATACAAAGTTTAGATTAAGACTCAGTCCATGCTCTTATGGAGCTCAGAGGCTGGTAGGGGGAGAAGAAAAAATACTGATAACTATAATATACAACATTAAACAATTAATATGTGCATCTGAGGGTTTAAAAAAAAGTTATGAAGTGAGTGAAGGTTGGGGTTTTTTTGCCAATTAAGAAGAATCATAGAAAATTTCATGGAGGAAGAGGCATTTTTATTGTGTATGAAAGGATAGGTAGGAACTCAACAAGTGAAGAGGAGGAGAGGCATTCCAGGCATAATGAGCACCATGAGCAAAAGAGCAAATAAAGAAGGATCCATGGCACACCTAGGGAAAAGAAAGCTGACCACTATGGCTTGAT